ACCCACTATGGCTGATGATACGACCCGACCCCCCTATTGGTCCTGTTGCTGGGCCAAAGCTGGGCTAGTGTTAAAGGAACTTGAGGGTTTAGGGCTTTAGGGTTTAGGGTTTAGGGTTTAGGGTGGTTACTATAAATACGGAAGCGTTATTTTTGTTGTATATACACCGATAACGGTAACTTAAACCCTATAAGCCCTAAATCATAAACCTTAGATACCCATATTAAGTTCCTAACAAGCAACCCAGGTTAGCGACGCTCATGATTTCGTTGCAGACAGTGGTGTTGGAGCAGGTGAAGAAGGACAGGTAAAAGAAAATGATGGAAGCCACTACATTATAATAGGGTGTGTGTGTGTATATATATTTATATGTATATACATATATAGCGCATATATAGATATAGAGGGAATATGTATATAAATATATATGTATATATACATATGGGTTATATAGGGATGATGGAAAAGAAAATGAAAACTACTCTAGTATAATGGGCTGTATATCAGGTAGCACGGGCTCACGGCAACACAGGCAGTCACAGGCGCAAAAGATCCTAACACAGCTAGTAGGATCATGGTGTCCAATCTGCTTTTGCGATTTCACCTGTGTTCTTGCAGGAAGCTGAGACGAAGGTGGTGTTCTTCGTGCTTCTGTGGCCTTGTATCTTTGGCGTGGCTGGACTGCTCCGAGTTTTCCACAGCATGTGCCAGCTGCAGCTGGCGCACGTAGCCCTGAAACATGGCGTGTGCCTTACCAGGCCAGCGAGTGCCGCAAGAAACGATGCTTGGGCATAGCTTGGGGCATGAAGTGCTTTTCCCCCAAGACAACTTTATGTCTGAGTAGCTTATGACCTGATGTTTTTTGGCGTTAGAATGAATTTGGCTCTTCGCGCCTCTAGTCTAGTGAGTTGAACAATCCGTACGCTTGAAGTTTGCAATAGCAAGCGTTGGAATGATTGAACTAACCAGGACCTTTTCACCGCTGCGGGCACGTCCATTTTAGCCATCTGCGTTGCTGTGGCATTGGCTCACATCCGGCTCTGGCTGCTGCTAGGGTTGGTTGTAGGGCTCTTTTCAGGCCCTACTTTGAGCATCATTGGTAACTTTGAGTGCAATGATTGCTCCTCTTTTCCTGGTGTTTTTTCTCAATCTCAGCCTCCTGGTTTGGTGGTCTTCCCAACCGGTGAGACCCTTGGATCCTAAACCCTAAACCCTAAACCCTAAACCGCGCAGGTGAGCTGCAGAAGGCTCGTGCCCAAGAAGCAGCTTTGCGACAAGCCGAGGGTAGCCATCGTTTGAAGTCGTTGCAAGACCTCTTCCGAGCTGCTCCGAAGCAGGAGCTCGTGCAGCTGGGTTGCTGTTAAGGAA